TCCTCTTATCTCTCCTTCTCGCCTCAGGAGATGAAAGAAAATGTTTTTCTCCCTGAGTCTGACCTTCATAATTCCATTCCATCACAGTATATCTCAAAACCAGACAAAACGTCTGCACGATATTTGCCGCTAATGTTTTAGATGGAGAATAGGTTAGCCAAGTACCAAAATAGGTAATTGAACTTTATTTTTAAATTCTTCCTGTCAAGAGCTATATAAATGTTTGTTTATAATAAATATAAATAGAAGTATAAATATAAATATAAATATATGCCCTTGCACACATGCACAGATCCCTTGGCTGTCTAGGTTAAACTTTAGGGCAGGTCCACAATTTCTAATCTACCAAGCTAAAAAAAAAAACACTTATATTTTTCCTAACTAGAGAGCCAGTTTGGTTTAGTGGTTAAGGCACTGGGCTAGAAACCAGAAGACCATGAGTTCTAGTCCTGCCTTACACACAAAGCCAGCTGGATAATCTTGGGCCAGTCACTCTCTCTCAGCCCTAGGAAGAAGGCAACGGCAAACCACTTCCGAAATCTTGCCAAGAAAACTGCAGGGCCTAGTCCAGACAGTCACCAGGAGTCAACAATGACTCAAAGACACACACACACACAACATTTTTTTTTAACTACTCAGGACTCCAGAACTACCAAATGGCACTTCACTAATCTGGCACACCAATAGTTACTTAGTTGGCTCTTTAGCTTGGAAGTTATGCAGACTTTCTTCTGGAGCATTTATGATTGACAGAGAACCAGACTAAGAGCAATTTGGCTTCTGCCAACACAGCTGTTTCTGCTGACTGCCAAACAAGGGGCTGGCCCCATCTCTGCAAAATGGGACAACTGTCTATCTCTGCAGGCAGGGCACATTCAGGCTGCACAGGCTTCCACAACTGCCCAGAGTGGTTGTTGGCCTGCCTCTGAAGACAGGAACAGGTACAGGCAAGTTCTAGAACTTTTGGCTCCAATACACACAGCACTTTTAAACAGGATACAAAGATCCATTCAGAAATAACGCATGTTTCCAAGGATTCAATTCTTAAACTTACCTATCCGCACCGACTTATGAAAAGTAACTGTCATGTTACAAAAGTCAACGGCAGCAAGTTCAGTAGCCTCAAACTATATCAGTGTTGCACCATAAAAAAGGTATCATGGAAAATGGATTATTAATGACTCACCCTGCATGTACACTTAGTACAGTTGTCATACATAAAGGAAGCTCCATTGTCATAAACATCACTATGAAATAGGCAACTTCCGAATGGGAGATCAAACACTTTCCTCTGCCCTAGATATAAATAAGAGAAAGAGAATGTAGTTAAAAGGAAACTGCACTGTAGCAAAATCAACACTCAACTGCAACCTATTAAACCTGTGTAAGTCAGTTTTATTCTATTTCTAAACAGGGTGTAAAAAAAATAAAAATAAAAGTAGCAACCGCAATGTCTTATAGAAAAGGAGGGAACTATCAATAACATCTATGGATCTGTTACACAATGCATGCTTAGCAGAATTCTAAAGCAGATTATTAATAACAATTATTGATTCAAATCACATATCCACTGAGCCTACTACCTTTTATTTTAAACTACCTTTTACCTGCTACCAATGGCATTCCATGGTATTACGTAAAGATATTTTCCTAATCCTTCTACTTGAGCTCATTAAACAGGCAAGACATAGATTTAAAACCTATTTCTATGCTAGTTTCCTTCTATGTGGCACCTTTCAGGTGTGTTGGTACTTTAGGGTTAAGAAGTCTCGGGCTGCGGAAGGTAAAGTTACTATATCTCAACTGCAAAATTCTGACCCCCAGAGGACAGCAAAGACTAAATTCTTTGTTTACCATCAAGTGGTTGTCCAGATTTTTACAGCCCAGATACAGTAGCCTTAGCAGAGTGAAAAGTAAGTTTTTGGTTTTTTTTAATTGGGCATTCAAGAAGTTGCACACCCACCAAAATTTGGAAGGCACCAAAATGGAAAAGCCTGCTTTAAATTGTTTACTCTCCATATTCATTTAGTTTCATCACTATTTCTGACAATCATTGACATTTAGTATTGAAACAGCAGCCATCTTCAACTTGACGCCCTTCCAGTTATTCTCAAAGTCATTGTCGCAGCACATCGGTGGTGGGGGGAGGCACTGGATTAGGGAGGCTTCTTGAAAGCAATGTTACTTTCATTATGCATCTTGGAGAAGTTAATGTGAATTGGTGACCTGTCCGAAGGGACAGTATTGCTTCAGCTAGATGTCAAGTAATATGTCAAGTAATCACATACAGTACTAAGCAAACTTAAGTGGCTGATACTTCTGTGGATTATGCAACTGCACTGTCTAATATACACTTATGTAAATGGACACTATGCATAGTCTGTCAGTGGAGTCATATAATTCCAACATGAGTGGTTATTTTAATCATAATCTTTGTGGTAGGTGTTTTGTTCTAGTATTGTTATAAGACATGGCACAGCCAGCCAGCCAGCCAGCCACGGGTTGTCTTCTAGCAGAAGTACTACTGTGGTAGTGCAAGTGTGGTAAATCAGGAAGCCACTGAGAGGGGCTACATTTACTTGTCAGCTCAGAACCTGCTCTCCAAAGATGATTTCCAGATTTCACCCTCTTCCCACTGCCTTACAAAGCCACGGTCTGCATTTGCTGTTCTATCGTAATGGGAAATAAAATGGACTATTATCTGAATAAGTTTCTCAGGAAGCGCAGGCCACCATCCTCAGATTCTGAAGGAAAGCATAGTCTGAGGTAGTGATATATGAATCCTCCAACTTTGTTTTGCAGCCTGTTTGGCAAGGCAGGTTTTCAGTATTTTTCCTAATTCCAAAATGCATAGAAAAATGCACCAAGTAGCCAAGGAATATCTTCCAGCTTCATTTAACCTTTGAATATGATCGTATGGTAATATGATCATTCAGAAAGTGCAGAAAGCCACACAAAGCCAATTTGTAAAGAGCCAGATCTCCTGAAAGCAGACTGAGCTTGTTAACATTTAACCAAAGCTAGAAGAGGTTCTTCAACCATCTTGCATGTTTAATGAAAAGAAAGGCCTATCTTCCAGTCCTGCTGCAGATTGTTTCTTAAATAGAAGAACAAGTATTTACCAAACATTACTTGTGGCTAGTGTTTGTTCCACATGAATTTCCACTCAGGGTGAAACCTCTAAATCTGCTCCCAGAGAAATTCAAGGCATAATTCTACGTTCCTAGTTTGAGGAAGAATATAAGTATCTTCCACAATAGATGAAAGGGTATATGAAGGAGGTATATGAACATGGTAGCCTTCTTCTCGGTAAAGTGATTTAATCCCATCTGAAAAAGTGCTAAATTGGCAACTGTCATTACATCTGTAACAATGAATCTGTATATTAATTGCGTATTCTGTGGAGAAACACATCCATGTTTTTATGGTGGACCCAATTATCTGAGCCAACTTCTAATAAAAGCCATTTCTAAGGAAAGGGCATGCATTTAGCTCTCTGGTTTCTTACAAGGAGAAAAAGAAAGAGAAAAGGGAAGAAAGTAGCAGAATTTGAGTGGTGGGGAGGATGATGCTGGAGGATTCTTGAGAAGGCAACGTGTAAATGCATGAAAGATTGAGGGGGAAGGTTTCAGAATCTGTGGCTTCCATGAATGCAGGCAGACTCTAAACAATTAAGGAGCCAAACAGATTAGACTATATATTTAGAATTAATAACATATTTGAAGTGTGTTCACTGACATCTCAGAGCTCATCAGGAGTAAAAGAGCAAAGGACTGCACATTCCCAATACTAAAGAGAATGAGACCAAGCTTGCTTGTGCCAAATTTAGCAGGTGACACAAGATAATTCCTTACATGCTAGTTACTTCCATGAGCAAACAAGCATATTCTCATAGGCCAATATTAGAATAGTGACTTCCCAGAGCTGGAGTATAATGTATACTGAACAGTGTGTCTTTATCAAATCTCTTCTGCTGGTGAACAAGCTCTGGGGTTTCCCCCTGCATTTATAAAGTTGATTCTTAGAAAAGCACACAACTTTAAAATGATTCAGGACATCCTGCAAAATAATATCCTTGATGTAAAGTTTGGTGTTATAAAGTAGTAATCACCAAGTGATGATGTGCTCCAGCCCAGAAGATAATTCAGTGCAACTTTTATGGCCTCCCAGCCAAGTCTAGTGGGATATGAAAAATCCCAGTCAACACCAAGACTGTCCTATCAAAATTAGTTCAAGATGTTCAGAAATCCCATATGGGGTAACACATCTTTAGAAGTGCTGTACATTGTGTGAAGGCTCATACGGTAAGGCTATGAACAAAAAAACATGTTACCTAGTTTATTTGCTACCAAAGGTTCTTCCTATCCCATATCTTCCCCCAAACCAGTTATATAGTTCCATTTCCCATTTAGACTAGCCGAATATCTAGAAAGAACCTAGGTACCACCCCAAACTTTTGTGTTGCAGAATTCATGAGATATTCCTTGCATAATGGCAAGGGATGCTGTCAGACTGCTGATGGGACACCGTATCATCAACAAAGACAGGGATGCTTGTGTGTGTGCGTGTGTCAATAAAGTCAAGATGGTGGCTACAACCATGTGATCAAAGCCCTGAACTTTTTTTACATGCAACATGCATGCAACCCACATAAAAAAAAGCAGAGCCGTGATTGTGTAATTGCAGCTGCCATTTTTACTTTGATCCCCCCCTCTCTGCATATGCCCCTAAACAAAATCCCACCATACAGAACAAAAACCACCATATTTTTCCACAAGAGTTTGCATTGCAGTAAGCACATATGTGTAGAGGGGTGTGTGCATTTGTGTTTATATATGCATGTTGCAAGTTCTTGAGGTGGGATACAGTGGCCTGGTTCATAAGTAATACTAAGCCATAAATCATGCTTTTAAAATTACTATGGCTGAATTCACACACTGCATTAAGGCAAAACCAAACAAAATGCATTCTGGGCTTAGCAGTTGTCTGAAAGTTAAGGTATTTGGAAGGTATTTAGTGCTATGAATTTGAATTCATAGCACTAAATATTTCATGCCACAAACTGGGTTGGAGCAAAGGTGGTCTGATAACCTAGCCTGTTAGATGAGGTAGAACCACTGGAAGTGTTGATTATTTACCTCCAGTGCTCTGAAAAAACATCTATAAAGATATTAATAGTCCGATTTTGGGAAAACATTACCATGTTTTTAAAATATATATAAATCCATTTCAGAATCGTGTCCATACCACAAAAAAAGTTTAATGGCAAAAACACTCTTCTCATTTTGGACAAAAAATAGTACACAGATGGAATCAAAATTTCTCTAAAAGTTACAGTGTGTCCCTTATACGAAACATAATCAGGATCTAAGCTTATTTCTTATAAATAAAAATGGAAAATAAATTAGGACTGTATAGTGATCCAGATTCAATCTCTAAAAAGTGGTTCAGAGCATGTGGGAGTATGAACATAGCTATAAAAGCAGAAAGCATTTTTAGAGATTCATTTGAAACAGAGCACAGCTGTGTTAATATAAATTATTCTTCATTATTATAACAATTATGCAATATATTATTTTGAATAATTGTAATCCACATTTCACAGAATTAACCTGTTCACCTTTTTGCTTTAACAACACAGTACAATCTGGTGAATTAGCGACATGTTTCCCAAGATATTATGAATTGTGGGAAATATACATTGCAAATGCAATATTCCTATGAAAGTAACCACTCACCTACACATTTTGGGCAACACTGTCCAGAAGGAGTGTGACTGAGATGTTGGGGACATGAAAGAATGGGGCACACTTCCTGTATACAGTGTTTCCTTCCACCCTAAAAAAAAACAAAAACCAAGGATATTTAGAGAACAGTCACATGCTACGGTGTCAGTAGACTGATTCAATATTTCTCCATATACACATTAATAGTTAAGAAAATAACATAGAATTCAGTTGCATGATGCACAGGTTTCCAGGGTTATATAGAAACCAAATTCAGGTAATCCAAATTCTGTACTAAGTAGTAACAGTTTCTAAATGTTAAAATATCCTTTACAAGTTTTTCACATCTTGAAGATAATATTTAATAACACAGACAGATAACATTTAATAACACAGTGGCAAAATATATTACCAAATTGTGGAAAAGGCTGATCAGTTTGGTTAGCTGTTGGAAGCTCCTTATTTCCATAGCATGAAATTCTTGGGATATTAAAATCCCATGTAATTACGGCACTGGTCCTCTTTTGGAATAACAATTTTTTTTGTGGTTGCATCCAGCTGCAGCAATTTTTGTGTGTGCTGTCCATCAGCTAGTAATTTAGATCAAAAGGAAGCCACTGAATTACAACCATTCTTCTCCACAAATGGCAAACATGTTGAAACATGTGATGCCACAGGTTAAAGCAATATGGCTGTTTGTCATCTATTCTAGTTTCCAAGAGTTGTGCTGCCAGAGAACACAAGAATAAATTTCAGCTGAGTGCATTTTAATGATATCAGAGGATGTCTTCTTAGTAAAGCAACTGTGTTAAACCTGTAACACGGCAATCTGATTTTATTCAATGAATAAACTTTTATTTATTTTAACTCAGTAAGGGGAATGTTTTAATCCACAAATTACACTGAATTGGGCTTCCCATGAATTGGGCTTCCTGAGTTTTAGATTTAGAAACAAACTAAACGCATGTATATCAGGCAAACCATGATGGCAGCTGCATATGTGTTTTCTCTGCCTTATAAATATATGCCATAGCAGCCCCATTGGTTGCATCAACCATAATTGTGGTTTCTTATCCCACACACCAAGCCATGGTTAACATAAACCATGGAATATAAACCCACTTTCAGTCATGGTTATGGCTTCTGTTTGCTGGCTGGTCAGAAACTATTTGAGCTTGTGGTGCTCCAATTTTTCTTGGTGGGTTATGTGAATCAAGTCTTTCCCTTACAAAGAAAATCAGGAATTTAAGGTTTCACCCTATACTTACATGAGACAGGGTTTAACACTGGGACTCATGCTTGATAATAAGAGTCCTGATCAGTTAAAGTGGAGCAACATGATTATGTGAACATTCATGATAGCTGGAGCTGCAAGGTAGACAGTCTCTTCTTGAGGAAAGCCCTCTTCCCACATCCTGGCTCCTTGGCTCTCTTCCATCCCACCAATGAAGTCAACATGCCATGGCACTTCACCACATCACTGCACTTGTTAAAACCGAACAACTTTCCCTCTCCAACAGTATCTATAAGGGAGGGCAGAGGCAAATGATGGAATGTATGCCTCACCACAAACTATTATCTGGTGTACTTGCAGTCAATGTCAAGAAACAATTACAAAAGCCTGAAATTTATGCTGTGATGCACACGTTGTCCTTTTTCATCATCACAGTTTGCACCAGATCCTATGTCAAGGTATCAAAATGCCTAGCCATCATTTCCAATGCTTTTTTACAATGAGTAGGTTTTCCCTTTTGTTCCTGCAAACCCCACCCCATCACGCACACCCAATGAAGCAGTGAGAAAGACGGAGGTCAGAATGCTGGCTAGAAACCTATCTCTGTATTGTCCTTTTGGCCAGCCAGAGGGAATGCTGATTGGGAGTACTGTTGTGAAGTCAACAACAGTAACGATATTCATGGGGCAGTGCAAAAATGTTTCTGAGAGATGCCTGTGCTCTCAGTGTTACATGAATAAGCAACAAATTCAGGTGTGCCACCCTCCCCACTCCTATGTAGCCACAAAGAGTCCAAAGCCAGACCAACTGTGATTAGTCCTGCCATGTTTCCTAAGAAAGACTAATCATACTATACCTGGATTTGGACATAATCACTAATGGCTAATTGAAAACCGAAGTAACTTCCACTTTCCTCTTCACAGGCATGCAAGAGGGAAAAGGAGAGGGGAGCCAGGGAAACTGAGTCTTGCATAATGTTTGTATTATATCCAAATATAAGGAGCAACCAAACCGCATTTTGATGGGAACAATTTAAGAAAGGAAACAGAGACATTGACTGAAGTTTCATCATAGCACACTGAAGTTGAGGACATGAATAATGGAAAGGAAAATAAGAAGGGGGAAGAAAGCAAACCAGATGTGATCTTGTAGCTTTTGTAACCAATATGCAATACAGCACAAATATTACAATTCAGTATGTAGAACAAAGTAACCAGAACATAAAAATAGGAGAATAATAACAGGAAGGATCATTCTTATTATTTGGAGTAGCATGTGTGAGGAATACTGAACAGATGATTTCATACATTCGTAATTAGCTACTATAATAGAGATCTTTCTAAAACAGCCTGGAAATTTTACTGTGAGCAGCAGCCTTGCAAAAAAGCCTACCAGCCTTAGTCTCCAGAAGTTGAACTAGACGACCAGCTACACACCCCTGTGTTACAGAGCAATCCTAAATGAGGAAGAATACATGTTGAATAATCCACCATTTCAGGATAAAAAGAATATTGACACTTTTGAACGTTGGTGTTAGAGAAGACTTCTGAGAATCCCATGGACAGCCAAGAAAACAAATAAATAGATCATTGAACAAATCAACCCAGAATTCTCACTTGAGGTATAAATTACCAGGCTCAAATTATCCTACTCTGGACACATTAGGTGAAGACCTAGCTCTCTGGACAAGGCTCTGATGCTGAGAAAAGGATGACCAGCAGCAAGGTGAATGGACTAAGTTACAATGGCAATAGGTGCACCAATGGAAGACCTGAAAGACCAGGTTAGGACAGATCATCCTGGAGAAAATTGATCTATGTAGTCGCTAAGTGTCAACACCAATTTGATGGCACATAATGAATCAACCAATGTACCATTTCCATAGCTCTGCCTGCTTACTCTGACCACAGCCAAAGGGTTGGGGTAGAAAAGGCAGCTGGGTGGCTTTATTTTTTTTTTCCTCCAGTTAGAGAGCAAATCATTTCACTGCATGTTGTAAACCCTTGATAGACAGGTTAATCTTTTTTAATCAGGGAGGGAGACTAGGATGAGTGGAGGCTGGCTGGCTCCCTACTGCAAATTTGGTTTCAGGTCTCACTTTCTAATCCACAGTTGTAAGAACTGGGCTGCCAATTTGTCTGCTGTCTAATCAAGGAAACCAGGGAATTTGCATGCTGGCAGGCATTCCTGAGAATGGGTATTTAATCTAATATTCCAATATGCCATAAATGTCTTTCTGGGAAAGGCAAGGTGGGTGGGTGGGTGGGTTGGTGGGACAGACGGAGGCTGGATCTTTTGACTGCAGTTGTTCAGATGACTGATTTTAAACAGGACTTGGAAATACTGCTGAGCTGCCTAAGTAGCTGCAGAAAAACAAATCTCCAGATGTAGTCATCATACTACCCAAAGTATGTAGTTTTATGGCCATAGATTAATGCATGATTGGTCATGGAGATTGGGAATTACAGAAGTTGTAGTCCAACACATCTGCAGGGGCACCATACTGAACTACTGGATAGAAACCCCAGGCATTTCCCCCATTAGCAAATGCTTCCATTGTAGGGTTGTTCTCACTGCTGTGGAAATATTCTCTTAATGAACTACTACTAACTCTACTAGGCTGTTCATGTACACACAAGTACGTGCAACAGACACTTTCCTCTTAAAGAAGTTTTGCAATCCATTCTTATCACGGATGTTATCTTCAGAAATACAGGATTTCACACCTTCCACTTCCATCAGCACAGTTATTAAAGGCTGCCTTGGCCATAAATCCTATTTGTTTTTTGAAATATAGAGACACAGGAGTCTGGAAATATTATAACTATCTCAGCAACAAACTCTCAGTAGAAGTTTGAGAACAAGCATGGGAACTTTGTGCAAACCAGTGCATATCTGCAAAATCAGAATCTTCACACCTTTTTTTAACCAATCAACATTCAAACAGTAACCTAAGTGCAGTATCGGTTCTGCATCCACTATTATAATCCGTGTGCATAATCTGTGTCTTTAAGATCCAAATCCCATACAGGATTATAAAACCAGTTACCCTAAACCACTGGCTTCTGGAGTCAGTAAGCACTTGTTATGTAATGTATGTGGGTTTGAAGTCTTCTTATAAGATCATGGACCTCCGCTTCTGCCACAATTTGTTAGCTTTTATTGTTCCATGGGGACTCTAAGTTCTTTTTATAGTAATAAAGGTGTCTACATGGATCATAACACTCCATTAACAAAAGCCAATCTATACTGGAGAGATGGGGAGCGGAACAACTCCAAATAGAGACTGGGAACAACTCACTGCCAATCTTTAAAGAGGCTTTCACAGCCAAGGTTGAGTTAAAGATCATGTATTTTGGCAGATAGTGCTCCTCGGCAGTGCTTGATTATATTTCCTCCTCTGCTTCCTCTCCTCCTTGTTCCAGAGAATTACAGTAAAAGCAATCCAATACTCTTTCATACTGGCTAGCATTGTGTGTTGGTGTGGAGGCTGGATGGGAGTCAAGGTTTTTACGCAGAATTAATACATTGTTGGCTAAGGCAGTACTTTGAAAAGCTGAAGACTAAATGTCTTCATTTTATACTTTACTACAAATAAATATAATTTATCTGTAGTAAAGTATATGGGTTGTCCTGGAAATCACAGGCTTGTACATGAAGAACTGTCAGCCTGCCACTTTTAACTGCCTCCCATCAACCTGTAGGACAGAGTTTGGTGTAAGCTGCAGCACAAGGTAGCTCTAAAAGGAAGTCAGTTAACCTGTGATCAGCTGGTGTCCAAGTTCCCTACCCAACCCTCCTCCAAGGAATCTTGAGTGAGTTTGATTTTATCTTCTGAAGACAGCTTCTCTTTCATCTCCCAAAGTTCCTCTGAAAAC